ATATAATAATATAAAATACTAGAACATTCTATCAAAATCTCACTCTAGCTACTTTAGGAAAAATATGAAATTGTATGCTAATCCATGAAAACGCATATCGTTTCTTTATAAGTCGTTAGTGGAGTGTGTGTGGTTAACCGACACACTAATATAGGACTATAAAGTTGAAATAATGACACAACATGAAAATTATTGTTGTTGATGGAGTGTGTATGATTAACCAACACATTAATGTAATATGATAAATGACCTCGAGGTTGTCAAGCGGGGTTGTATGGTTATTCACATCTCGTTTGTGATCATCGGCATCCCAGTCACCGAATTGAGAGCATAATCCGAGATTAAACATACCATTGATAAGATTTAATGAATCTCAAAAGATCTAGGAGTTTCATAAGATTGAAATTGGTAAAAGCCTTACCTACCTAAAATATATTTGAATTTAATTATAGCATCCCTCTTCAAATTTCGAATCGAAAATATGGGTCATAGCCTTAATTTAAATTTTGGGTTAATAATTAAGGGTTAAAATCAACTAACTTGAATTCTCTCTATTCTCACTTTTAGATGTCTTATGAAGATAGAAATGATATTCCTCATTCTTATAGAAATGTTTTTCATCAATCTTCTGGAGATGGTCTTCTAATTTCAGGTCAAGGTGAAATTGTTTCTCTTCCTTAGGAAATGATGGAACTAGACATCATCTCTTCAACTCTTCCACCTCCTCCTTCTATGACTCTCCTGTTACGTTTTCCTCAAGTCGAAAGATATGAAATTCAGATAATTACCAAACTTCAAGATAATTACTTAGTGGCCAAGTAATTATCCCTTAGGGTTTAAATCATTCCCCTATAAATAAAGGACTCCAGAACCGGATTCAAGTGATTTAGTTCATTATATTATGTGTTAAATATATATATATATATATATATATATATATATATATATATATATATATATATATGTTATAAAATATGTTTAAATAACAAGATAAATTATAGAGTAAAAAAAGACATGAGAGTAGAGAGAACTTTTATGCCAATATACTTGTGATGAAATCATCAAACTTTACAATACATAATATTAACTATTTATACTAGACAAAGAAGATGAAAGGTCATGTATGTTATGAATGCTAATTATAGTGATGCATAACTACACTCATAAAACTCATAATAATGTTTGCTATAATGCTCACTAATTATGGAGAGTAATGGGGGAATATGGAGAATCCAATAGCCATTCAATAAATAATAATTCATAACAATATATATATATATATATATATATATATATATATCCGTTATATGTTAGGATGTAGTAGTACTGTGGTATGCTGATTAGGCAAGTAGGCTAGTATATTATTTTGCCCATTGATCGCCAAATTGTTTGATTGTATGATATGTTGATATGTTATGTTGAGGGGTTAATGATGGAACATCACTAAAGCTATGAACCTATAATACTGAGGGTTGATGGTAGAACAACACGAGAGTTATGAGCCTAGATATCCACTATTGATGACTAGACTGACGCTATATCCATTTTGTCATTAGGTGGATCAGCATGAGAGTCGAGATACTTGTTTGTATGCGGATTGACACGAGATCCGAGATATGTGTTTGTATACGGATCGACACGAGAGCCGTAAGACATTTTTGTATGCATTATATGTGTATTGTAGTGTGTGATATATTAAGGAACTCACTAAGATATATGTTTATAGTTGTTGATTCAATGTTTCAAGGTGACTTTAAGAGGGATTGTACTGCAAGCGCATCGTTGAGGATTCTAAGATTTAGATTTCCGTTGTTTTTATTATTCTGATAAAATTTATGATTTGAATCTATGGTTTTAAAAAAGTTAACACTTGGGTTTAAAAGAAATGGTTAGGGTTGATGACGTGTAAGGGCAGTGAACTTTGTTTCGTGTACACATTTAGTCACTTAAGTATTTTTTTGTACATGTCTTACCATTTAATTTATTTATGATGCTCAAAATATACTATTATGACTGGATATTTTAGGTAAAACAACTTTTTCACTTCTTATGACATCTCTGGTTATCTTCTTCGATGAATCTCCGACGTACACATAAATTATGTGAAATCTGTTCTTTAACACACACATACATGGGTATTCATCTGGTTATGGGGATGAACTCACATATGCAAACTCAAGATATAAAAATTATGTTTAATTTCTAAGTACTTAAGAACTCAAAAATAAAAGAGTTATGTTTATGGCTTTCATTTCCAGTGAACAAACCTTAGATTTTATGGCTTTGTTTTTTTGGATTTCACAAGAAAACAATTTTACATTAACTTAAGCTAATGAACAATCACTTAAGGGTTTTAGCTTTTGGAATTTCAGGAAAAAAAAAACACAATTTTATAAGAACTTGAAGGGGATTTCATTTATGGAATTTTAGATTTTTAGGTTTGGTAAAACATATGTAAAAATAAACTTAAATAATTAAATATATACATAAAAAATGTTCATTACCGTTACAAATAGTTATCCCAATTCATTATTTGCTCTAAATTTTTTACAAGGGCTTTATAAAATGATGTAAACCTTTATTTATGTTTAAATGAGAAAAAAGAAAAATATGATATTATCATAGAGAAGCCCATCTTCAAATCTGAACCATGAAAAGAAACCCGACCCGTTTTTGTCGTTCTCTAACTACGTTTCCAGGGGGTTTTACTTTCGCCCTTGAAGAAAGAGAAACAGGCAGCGAAGAAGAACCTGATTTTTGTCTGCTTGGATCAGTCGGGGAGATCTGTTCTATAAACATCTTTTCCAAGCAGATCTGTTCCAGTTTCTCATCAATTACATTCTTCTTCCTTCATTTACTCGAGTGTTCATCGATCCATAGACAACAGCAACGATGAATATATTCAGACTTGCAGGAGACATGACTCATCTCGCCAGCGTCCTCGTCTTGCTTCTAAAGATACACACCATCAAATCCTGCGCTGGTTTGCCCCCATTTTCACCATACTTCTGTTGCGCTTTTTGCAGATTTATACTGTTTGTAGTATACGAAATTTGGGAATTCTTAGCTCCATGACTTTCTCGTTTACTCAAAATGCTGTTTTGGGTTAATTTGGAGCCGATTTGATGATGCCGTTAGTCTGTTTGGACAAATAGTTGTTTCTCGATTGCTCGTTAATGGATTCTGAACTTGTTTTATCTTATCTGTTCGTCTAATTTTGATTTCTACAAACATCAAGTGGATTTCTCGACAATTTTGCTGGTGGCATTTAGGGTTTATGATATCTTATGATATCGAGCAAATTGTAATTGATTTGCTAGATGTTCTGGAATTCGAAAGAGTATTCTGCATAACTGATACCCATAGCCATGGATTCCACAAGTGATTGGTCCTTCTTCCTTCTTCCTGATCCACATGACATGTTTCTTCTTTTTCACTTTCCGATTTACACTTCTTCTAAGATATATAATCACAAATTGGTCATATTACATATCAATAACACCAATGTTTCATGCAGGGGTTTCTCTGAAGACTCAAGAGCTCTATGCACTGGTGTTTGCTACTCGTTACTTGGATATATTCACAGACTTCATCTCATTATACAACACAACCATGAAATTAATATTTCTTGGAAGCTCTTTCTCTATAGTCTGGTATATCAGGCGCCACAAAATTGTCAGAAGATCCTATGATAAAGATCAAGACACCTTTCGCCATTATTTTCTTGTGCTTCCTTGTTTGCTTTTAGCCCTACTTATTCATGAAAAGTTCACCTTCAAAGAGGTATGCATATGACATATGACATATGTTATGTTTCTTTATGAGCATTCTAAAAACAACTGTATATATATGTTACATTATATCTGTTTAATTGTAACTTTTTTTGAGTAGATAATGTGGACATTTTCTTTATACTTGGAAGCTGTTGCAATACTTCCTCAATTGGTTTTGCTTCAAAGAACAAGAAATATCGATAATTTGACTGGTCAATATGTATTTCTTCTAGGGTAATGCATTTCTCCTTTACACTTTTATTCATATTCATAATATAATGTGATGAAAAAATATTAAATAATAATTTAATGTCTTTAATTTTTCTTGTGTAGAGCATATCGTGGATTGTACATTTTCAACTGGATCTATCGCTACTTTACTGAGACTCATTATGTCCATTGGATAAGTATGTTTTTTTCCTATATTCTTAATGAAAAAATTACAAAGAAAAGATTTTTTTTATCCTTTTATGTTATATTAAAAATATATAAATTGTGGTAAAAAAAAATTTGTTTAAATATCTTGCAGCTTGGATAGCAGGACTAGTTCAGACATTGCTGTATGCTGATTTCTTCTACTACTATTTTGAAAGGTAATACACTTTTAAATTAGTTTTTTATTTATTTATTAAATTTGGATGAAAATGTAAATTTTTTTTTTTTTTTTTGTATGAACACAGCTGGAAGAACAATGTAAAACTTCAATTACCAGCTTGAGGGTATGATAATATGATAGAGGCAGGAGATACTTGATAGTGTTCTAAGAATCCTTACCTTATTATATATACTTTGTTTTTTACTTTTTATTATACCTTTTATTTTTCCCAAATAGCATATCATTTATATTAGAGATTATAAGATTGAATTGCAATTTGACACTTTGACAAGGAAAGAATCATCAAATTTACTCAAAAATATATTACTATTGCTCTAAAACCCAAGTTCATTTTGGTAAATACTACTATGTTAATATGAAAAGAGGGTATGAGAATGAGATCAAATGGTGATATAAGATTGAATTGTAATATTAAATTGTATAAAAAATAATAATATTTTGTTCCAAAGTTTTCTTGAATTTGTAGTAATTACTAATTGAATATGTACGAAATTGTTCAAAAAAGCGATTAAAATTTGAATATTTTTCGGCCAAAAAATTCCAAAAACATGAAAAAGAACCAACCAAGTAGAAATGTAGAATGCTGATCTTAAAAAGACTTGAAAGAAAAACTGAATGTACATATATTTACACAAGATGTTCATTAATCACAATCTCACTATAAATGTAATATCAAGGAACAAATGAGAGAACCCACTTTTCCTTTTTCTCTCTACTCATTACTCAAATACACGAATTACACATTTACACCTCAATGAACAAAAACAATATTAGTAAAAAATGTAAAAACACAAAGAAACCATTTATTTATGAATTAATATATTCGTGGGAAAGAATGTTATTTAGCAGCTCTCTGAAATTTGCCAACACATGACGTGGCCCTAAACTTTCAACCCCAATGAAGTTTAACAGCTGCTCTAAATCCTACACAGATTCACATGTTATCATCAGGTTAATTTAGCCCCATAATTTATATAAATATTAAAGAAAAAACAAAGTAAAACCTTGTTAAGTAGGAATACTGCATAAGCTGATCTTGTCGTTTCTTTGCCTTCCAAAAACAGAGGAAATTCAATCGGCTTTGTTGATGTGAACTCAGATATAGATTCAACTAAAGGAGGAGTATAATCACATATATATGTTCTAGAAGCTCCCAATCGTATTGGATACCTCAAAGGAACTTTTATATATAATGCAAGTAATGAAACAGCCTACAAGAACACCACTCATTTCATATAATTATACTAGAAACAACATTTTATTAAATCACGTGTTGAAATTTGAAAGTCAATTATTTTAGGAAAGAAAGAATACAGACATGAGCAATATAACCGAGTGCAGTTGCCGACCTCAAGGCCTCCTTTTTGTCAGTTAAAAAATTCATCTTTGTAAAAGGGTGCACACTCAAATGCCCTGAAATAGTCATTGATGTTGCATCTAGGGATTTTTGTACATCATGGTTCCCTATCAAATTAACAAAAATATAAAACTATTAAGAAAAAAAAAAGTATGACCCTTATAGTGACAGAAACAGAAAACACAGATTGTATTGTGTTTGACGTGCATCGGACATACTGATGTCAAAGATGCTGATAGTGACCGATAGTGATAAGTGGCATGACTAATAACAGGTTATACTGTGTTTGATATTCATTGGACTGCGTTTAACATTTATTGGATTGAGAGTGATGTTAAAGGAAAAATTATGAACTTAATAACGGCCGAAACAGAAACATGTTGTACCGTCAGAAACAGAAAACAGGTTGTGCTGTGTTTGACATGCATTGGACTCGGACTGATGTAAAAGGGTGACAATGATAGTAATAGTGACCGATAATGATAAGTGACAATGATAGTGACAGTGACAATGACAGAACACATAACAGGTTATCCTTTGTTTGACATGCATTGGACTGATACCAATGGTAAAAAGGGTATATACATGATAAATTGATAATGAGGATGAGAATAAATATAAATCAAGTTGTAGTTCTCACGTGTATGCCCAATCACAACTTTCACAGGATACAGCAATGAAATCTGTGACACCATAAATTGTTGCTGCATTCTCAACAATTTCTGCAAATTCTGTAGGTGATGAGCATAACCTTTTTCTCCTCGCAATGACTTATTTGCTTCCTGTATCCAACACCAAATTCATATTTCTTTATTGTTTTTAAACCAAGAAGAACATAAGAAAGAATTTGAATGATGAAAACATGGGGTTAATACTTAATTGATTACCTGCAATCGACTAGTAGCTACAGAGAGAGCAGAACCAGCCATTAGAAGAGATCGAATCTCAGAGTTAAGTTGTTCTTCCTGTTTCTTCGTTTTCTCTCTTACAGCTTTTGATCGCATTGACATGTTTCCCATTAACAGTTTTCGAGCTTCTAATTTCTCCCGCATCTCGTCAAGCTCATTTGACCATTTCAACGATTCTGCTTCTAACTGCGCAACATTGAATCAATTTCACGATTCTGATTAACCTGATTTCACTTCGCCTTTTTTACCGCAAAATGAAAACCTTGATCCTAAATTCCTAATTCCTACCTGTACAAGGGAGTTGAGCTTCTCTCGGATTATGGATTTCTTCTGATTAGCTTCGTGAAGGGCGGAGGAAAGACTGGAAAGACGAGCAAGCTCTTGTTGGAAATCTTCCCATGGAATGATTTTCGATTTCTCCTCCTTGTTCTTGTTTGTTTCTTCTAGCGGTTTCTTCTTCGATTCCATTTATAGCTGCAGTAATCGATGATGATGAGAATTGAGGATCATAAGTAGTAAATCAGTGTGAACCCACCTCATCATCTTTTTTAAGAAATTAGGGAAAATATTAGGGATTGAAGATTATCGTCATTGCTTGATTCGTTCAACGTTGAGGAATTGATGGTAGCTTCCAAGAGAAGCAACAAACTTCCCTTTGACTTATGTACGAAATTGTTGACCCCATTCATGTGGGAGTGTAGGACTTGCTTAATATAATTTTGTTTTTCTTGACGATTTTCTATTTCCATTAAATTAAACATATAGTTAAATCAGAGTGTTCTTATGAATAATAGCAGCTGCAGTAATTTTTTTTTACCACCGTCCTCTCTTCCAATTAGCTGCTCCACCGTTATATCATCCATTAATACGATGCCGCTTTCCTCATATCTCCATTGCTCCTAAATTCATCAAACCTAGAACTCTACCGTCAGTCGGTCGGTCGCTTTGTTTCCTCCGCCACCCTGTTTCTCCGTTCCCTACTATTGACAATAGCATTCTTCGATTCCGCTCCAGCGACGCCGGCGAGACCGATTCCTCAACAGTTGTGTTTGGGTGGCCGTTGCTTCCATAAGATACACACACATTTTCCACCGCTTATCATGGGGTGTGCAACGGAGGTGGTTTGGTCGGCGACTTTCCCATTTCCATTCCCGACTCCCTCAATCGTAGGCTCCATCGGCTTATCTGGATCATGTTTTCCGTTTCCGACACCAACACCACCATCAGCCGCCTCATCTGCGATTAGGGCTTGACGAAGATCACCGCTCATGTCAGACTCACTTCAAGGTAAGAAATTTGATATTTTGCCTTTCCTGGTATCTGGTATTGGTTATTTGGTTGGGTTTAAGCCTCTCGACTTGGTTTTTGTGATTTCTGATTGGATTTTAGCCGATTGGCTGTTTTTATTGCATGCTTGCCGTGTCCTTTATTCCCGTTTGTCCACCTGGGATTGCTATATGGGGGTTATCGTAACACCCGGTTTTTTGTAACATGTGTTATTTCATGAAATATAACATACCAAACATAACACTTCCAACCCGGATTATCTTGATGCACCCTACGAAAACAAAGCCACAGATCATAAACAGCTGCAGAACACTTTCACTTGATAGAAGGCTCAGATAATCCTTCGAGTAGAAGATTCATCCCTGCAACGGTTAGACTCAGATGAGAGCTGCACAACAGGGTCAAATCACTTACTCTGAGATTATTTGATCCAAATTGCAAGTGACCTAGCACTTCCCGATCAACAAGCTACCTCACCCACAAAAATGTTAAATCACTACCACTGCTCGAAGCATCCCCCTGCAGCGTAGCTGCTTTCCAAAAGCATCTGAGACCTCCCTGGTCCCAACTTGTCTGCCAACTATCTGAAGTACCAGGTTCATGCCCGGTTGCTTAGCCCAAGAACACTCACACAATCACCCCACGTGACTTCCGAAAGGAAACCTCGACCGGAAATAATTACCCGAACAACCATGACACCAAACCCGATGCTAAACTCAACACTACAGGACCAACTGTAGTCTTACCTCACACCCAGTCTCCCACAACCTACCAATTACTGCTTCCGAACTTGTTGTGGCCCTCCCACAACCTTGCAAACAAACCACCCTGGCCTAAACCATCTGAAGAAGTCCGTGAACAGATCATAGATTTGTCACACTCTCACCGTTGCACAGGGGACCGGTGAATGCTACAGGCCATCCCACAGTCATACAACACTTCCCACGCTAACCGACCGAATGTTACGGGTCACCCCGCAGTCTTACAACACTTCCACACTAACTACTAACTAGTGAATGCTACGGGCCACCCCGTACTGAATGCTACGAGCCACCCCACAGTCTTACAACACTTCCACCTTGCCACAAATGTCGCCCAATTCCTTACCACTAATCTTTCAATTCGAACACAACTAGAGTCGAGCATGCACTCGACCAAACACCCAAGCTGAACTCGAGTCATGATTGGAACCCTAACCCGGGTCCCCCCAAAGCCTGCTATTGAACACCAAGAAGACGCGAACCCAGTGTTGGGAAGTTTCCCGAATTCCCAACTCACACAATCCTCAATCTAGACAGCCACTTGGGCCGCCTTCCTCCCCGATGGGGTTGCGAAACTCATCCTCGTTCACACACCTGCTTCTGCCCTGAATACCTGGATAATTCTCCCCCACTTTGACTCGACTAAGTCCTCACATCACACGAGAATTCAAGGATTCCTAATCCTTCTTACCCTCCAATGATCGAACCGCGGATAACCTGCGGTTACCAATGTTAGTGATCCATTACTAGCCAAACTTAAAAGACCGCACAACCCCCGGAAGACTAGATGAACACTTTCCGAATCCCAACAACACTGATAACCCCAGATGCTCAAAATGATATCATACTCAAATCTTGAAGTCCATAGGACGGATGCTTCAACCAAAACCTCAGTAACTGACCTCTTCCCTCGGCACCTCCAAAAACCAATCCAAGCACCATTGCTAAAACCACTGAATCCTGGCGATACTGGATAACTAACCCACTGAATCCCGACCATAAACCTTCCGCACAATGCCCCTGAACCGATCTCGACTACAAACCAAAATAACCATCGAACACTAGAAACCCGCCATATAAGGAAACGACCTCGCACTACTCTACTAAAGATTCATGGCATGCAAATGACATATAACATTTCTTGGGGAAATAACCCAAACATAAGCAGAGAAATAAACCAAAGATACGATTACCCAAACCGATGCAAGATTCCAAACCACAAAATACAAATAAATCTGAAAAGAAAGCAAAAGAGACATACTTGCAACATCGCCTGCTGGAGACCTGACCTCCCCCGTCTGACACAGAAAGACCCGAATCATTTCCGTTGAGACTCCTGCCCTACCCTCTTGTCCATCGGTGATCCTCATAGTAGCCGGAGCAGGCACACTCACTGCTCCTCCCCTCAACATCGGACAGTCGGCCTTCTTGTGGCCCACCTGATCGCAGTGAAAACAAAACAGGCTTACCCCCCCGAGAACGACAAACTCCATCGTGCAGTTTCCCGCTCATGCTGCACTAACCCCGAACCTACTGGCCTCTCAAAAACTGATCAGAAGTCTTGGGTCTTTTCCCGGGACCCTCCACTACATGAACCTAATCTGATCCCCTCCTCCCGAGGTGCTCCAAATCTATCTCCCGCTCTCAGACTCTAGAAACCATATCATTCAGGGTCTCGCACCCTGAAATACTCACAAACTCCTCGATGTCATCCTGCAGCATATCATGATACCTCACCTTCTTCATTTCCTCATCTGTTGCATACTGCGGTACCAACAAAGCCCTCTCCCGGAACTTGGCAGTGATCTCTGTCACAGTCTCAGTAGTCTGGCGGAGATCCAGAAACTATCGCGCCAATTGTTGCACCTCAATCGCCGATGCAAAATTAGCTCGAAACATGGTCGAGAAGTCATCCCATGACATAGCATCAACAACAACATCACCCAACTCACTACCAACCTCTTCCTACCAATCTCGTGCCCTGTCCTTCAATAAGCAGGAAGCATATATGACATTCGCCTCCTCGGGGAAGAAACTCGTCCTGAACGCGTTAGCTATATCTGCTATGTAACATCCCAAGACCAGGTATACCTTATAAACCCTTGTTCTTTTGGTAATTGTCAAGTTTGGCCCTTATTTGAGAAAAGGTGGTAAATGAGTACGTGGGGCGTACGCGGGTGAATGCTCAGCGTACTCATGTGAGTGTTTTTGACGCGGATGCCACCTAGTACGCGGGCGTACCAGAGGGTACGCTGGGCGTACTAGGCCCAAAGTGAAAACCCTAATTTAGGGTGTGTCCCTATTTAAAGGACATGATGGCCTCATTTTTTGGCCACCATTCCCAGACATCAACTCTCTCAAACCCTAATTTCTCGTCCCTTGAGCTTGTGTGTCCATTTGTGAGCTATTAAGTGTTCTTGTGGTTTCTTTGGAGTGAAGAAGGAGCTTTGAAGGGGAAGGAGTGGGAGTCCAAGCTTTGGATCTGAGATTATCTGTGGTTGGAGCTTCAGTTAGAGGTATAAAGCTCAAAGCTTTCTCACCCTTTTGATTTGTGCATCATTTTAGTTTATTTTAGGGTTTTGTTCCCAAAGTTGGATGCTTTATGAGATATTGAGCTCCAGAGTTTATTATCAGCTCCTTTGAGTGTTTTTAGTGGTGTAGAGTCATAAAAATCGAGACTTGGACATTTAAACCAACCCATGCATGAGATATGAGCATTCTTGAGAATAGAGAGTGAGACTTTTGGTGTTTGTGACTTTATCAGCCATGCAAACGCTTAAAGTCACAGACTTTATGGAGTATGAGCCTTTAGGGAGTCCAGATCTGGGATTTCAGCTAAAGTCTTAACGGATTAAGACCAAATGAGTAGGAAGAGCAAAACTGGGACGTACGCTGAGCGTAATCCCATTACCCGCAGTGTAGGGTTGAGAATCCCGGATGCATGCATGGTGATGGAGTACGCCCAGCGTAGAGGGCTGGTACGCGCGACGTACGCGCGACCGTTGACTTTTTAGTTGACTTTTAGGGTTTGGTCAATTTGTGGACTATTGAGGCCATGGAAGGGTAAAATGGTATTTTATCCTTCTGTGAGTTTGTAGAAGGGTTTAGTCTAGCTTCTTTGAGAGCCGTTATTAATTAGAGATAATTATCATATGTGTTAGGCGGAGGCTAGACTGGTGATTTGAGTTCGAGGTTATCTAATTTCTTACGAGGTGAGTCTTCTCACTATACTTACCTTAAGTGGTAATTTTGTGTGACCGGAGGGTCTTGTGTGCTTATATTGAGTATTGTTGTATCCTGCATTATGTCTTTCTGTTTTATACTGTGTATTATTCTGAGCTTGCTGAGTTAGGACCAGAGGGTCCACCTGAGTTGTGGGACCGAAGGGTTCCACTGAGGCACCTTGGCCGGAGGGTCTTATTGAGCATAGCCATAGGAGGCTAATGTGATGTGTGTGGTATTTTGGGGAACTCACTAGGCTTCGTGCTTACCGTGTTATGTGTTTCAGGTACTTCTCAGGATCACGGGAAGGCACCGGCTTGATTGTACACACACAAGTTGGAGATATGTTTTTGGAGGATCCTAGATTGTGTTTTAAACAATTAATGAACATGTGCTTTTGATAACTTGAT